AATGATTAAATTAAGTACTATTAAGGAATGTAAATTAACTGAACTTATGCAACTTTTCTAGATGAATAAAATGTATCCAGAAATTAATTAACTTATCTAAATTGTAATATATAACATTAATGAATAAAAGAAATTAAAAATTATTTAAATTGAGTTTTTTTATGTTCTGCACTTGAAGCTGAAGGAACTTCAGAACAGTAACGAATTAAACACATGTTTTGCAAACCTATTTTACACGTTTTACAGCCCAGCTCATTCACTTCAACTGTATGTGGTATAAAATATTAGATTAGATTCAACTTTATTGTCATTACACATGTAAAAGTACAAGACAACAAAATGCAGTTTAAGTCTAACCAGGATTGCCATAGCAGCAAGCGCAGGCTATAGGCACAAGTTATAAAGTGCAAATATAGAAAAACTACAGTGATATTTACTGATGGATGTACTATGAACATTATATACAGGTTGTATTAACCATAAACAGAGCTTTATAATAGATGAGCAGCATACTGTACAGGTTGCTATTAATAATCAGGGCATGCCGATAGATATAAACATCATTACAAGTGTATATGTACAGTGGGTGTGTACAAATCATAAGAAAAACATTTATTAAATAAATTAAAAAAAGTACCTCAGATTCCAGTTCGGTCAGGTTCCCCACCACATCTCTGCAGGCCAACAGCAGGTCATCCAGATGATCCTGAAGACACTCCAGCTCCTGAGAGAGAGCAAACAAACAAACAAACAAACAAACAAACACAAAGATGCTCATTATACTGTACACAGATAGTCCTGCAAGATGAAGAAGCGTTCTCTTTTTCACCTGTCCAGTGTCGGTTTTCTCGCTGCACCATTTGCCCAGGTCAGTCATGCAGCGTTTCTGAAGCTCAGGGTCCAGTTTTACATCCAGAGCTCTCTGGTGAAGAATCCTCTGAACCTCCACCTTACAGTCCCTCGTCAGCTGCTCATTATTGATAAACAAATATGTATTTTATTCATTTCAATATCTTCTGCTTATATTCTATTACAGTTGGTCCTGGTGTGAAATTTCTATTCTTTTTAATTAAGACATAAAAAAGTGCATTATTGGTGTTTCTTACCCTTCTGCCCTGCTCTTCTGTGCGGTAAGCATGGCGGTACAGACAGGAAAACACAGCGCCAGGAGGCATGAGCTCACTGCTCTCATTCCAGCCTGGTGTGTAGCAAAGCCTGGACGCGTCGTTCTGACATTTACGATATAAGATAGGATCAAGCCTGAAGGGGAAAAGAGAAAAAAAAAAAACACACAGTGAAGTAAAAAATTAGTCATTTGCAGGAACAGATTATTTAAACTTAAAAAAAAACAGCAAAATATTATAATTAAAGTAGAATTGGTAGCTGTTTTTGTGGCCTGTGCCTTTAATGCTAGTTCTCCCGGCCCATCGTTCCCACGTGCTTGTCAGAGTGTGCCTCAATCTTTGCCTCGGCTCTGTCAGATAAACAGTACAGTTATTACGGTGGCCGGGAAGTGCAAAACAACATTACAAAGCGTGAAACAATTTTACGAAGCTCAAGAGAAATTTACATTTAAAAAAATATTTGGTCCCACTTTATATTAAGTGTCCTTAACTACTATGTACTTACATCAAAAAATAAATACAAAGTACTTACTGTGTTTATAACGTATTTGAGTACACTTGTGGTGCTTTTGAGTTGGGATAAAGGTTGGGTTATGGACAGGTTTGGTGGTATGGGTAGGTTTAAGGGTGGGTTAAGGTGTAAGGGATGGTCAACATTGTATTTACAAATGTAGTTACAAAAGTTAATTACAGATGTATTTACATACATGTATTTAATCAAGCACAAGTACACAGTAAATACATGTATTTACATTGTAACAAACTATTAATTCCTGTATACGTACATATTAGTTAAGGCCACGGAATATAAAGTGGGACCAAATATTTTTAACTAACATAAGACACAATTACATAGGAAAAAAGTCAAAAGGTTCAGCACGAGCATAGTATTACTCACACTATGTACAGTTGCCTTAAACTGGGCCAAGCCTCCTGTCTCCCCAGATGGCCCGCACTTACATTGCATTCGCGCCTGAGTGCACTTACGTCATCGATGATGCACTGTTCAGTAAGCGCTCTCGCACAGCACAGTGGTGATTGCTTTAATTATATCGTTTTAGTGGTTTGGGATGCGGTGACTCGCAATTAAATATTTTGCCAAACAGATCAGCCATTTTTGACACTCATAAATAAATCATAAAGTCCTCGTGCTGCAGGAATTAGGAGGTTTGCTGAAGGTGCATCTGTCGTGCAGTGAGGGGGTTGCGTCTTAAATAATCTATGAAAGTTTGCGTTCATTGAACTGTAAGAGTGATTAATTAATCCACATCAAACAGTCCCTTAAAAGTCACAACTCATCTTCAGTTTCGGGCTTAGCTGCATTTTGCACTCACACTACAAGCGTACTGCATCAAAGCCCAAGTGAACCACGCTCTGGCACACCTCTTCCAACCGGGCCAGGGCTGGTCAAATAAACTGTGCCAGAGACCTATTCAGAGCACTTGCACTTCTCAAATGATCCGGGAAACCGATCCGGCCTGGGCATGGTTCAGATAGCATAGTGTGAGTGCGCCCTTAGTCGATCTATCTAACTAAGCTATTCAGGACTACTAGTTGAGATCAGTTTTGATATTTTTATCAGTCAACATATGCTGTGCTTTGCTTGTAGACTTGTGTTGACTTGTTTCTATGTACTTGTGTTTACATGTTTCTAAATACTCTCGTGCTGATATTTTCTCAGAAGAGCTCACAACGATGTTCTATCGAGTTGGTCAAACCATGTTTTTATAGTTGTAGACTTGTGTTAACCCACAAACTCACCTACTAGCTGATATTATCCGGTGTGGGGTACATTCCGCATCACTTCCAGTGTGTGGTACATTTCCTTTCCGTAAAGAATCTGTCATGGTAAATTTGTTTTGGGACTGGTAAAAGTGTTTTGCGTCCAATTCATTTTTTTTCTAAAATGTAAATTAGTTTAGAAAAATCGTTTTTCATATGTAATTGTGTCTTATGATAGATAAAAATGTTTTCCAAAAAGTACATTTGTCTTGAGCTTCGCAAAAGTGTTTCACACTTTGTAATGTTTTGCTCTTCCTGGCCACTGTACAGGGACAGATATCAAGGAAGCAGACCTCACGTAACGTTTGTGAGATATACTACAGTAAATTATTTCCCAATGATTATTTGATGTATTTGTTGTGACGTTAATTCAAGTCTTTCGGCAACGATCAGTCACACACACACAGTGCATGTGTTTAACTTTACACTGTTTTTGCACGTAAATGTGACCGGATGCATGTTAATATCCACTGCTGTATGCATATCTGTATGTTATATGTATGTTATGTTAATGTACAAAATAAACCTGATTTAACGTCCACAAAGCGGGATTGAAGCTTCTTTTTTATAATACTGACATACAGCTGTGATGATAAAGACAGTAAAATCGCTGTATTTCATTTCACACATGCACTGTTTTAAAAACGTTTTGAACTTGGTGAACTCACTCTTGATCACATCTGATGATGATTGATGATCACAGAGAGCTGAACAGATCTTTTAATCCAGGATGCTTTTCACACGTCCTGTCTTGTTAATATGAATATATGCGTTACTACAGAAACATGTTAATATGCAGCTGTCAATCAATTCGGTTTAAAAAGAGACTGATTGTCTTTATATCACCCCAATATGGTGATATGTTTAATAGCCTGAATCTTGATGCATTGCATTCACTGCATGTTCAGCGCAAATGTCCGATAATTGTAAAATCCAAAGAAGCTCGACACAGAAAAACGCAAATCAGCGTATAATGAGACTAAGCATTTAAAATGACACAAACCGAAACCTTTAAAGAGTGGTAGAAGTGAGACTTTTCTTCCGATCTTTTGCCTGTTCTTTCTGGTTATTATATTGACATGCGTCCAACACTCCCGTTTTTCCCGGGAGACTCCCGTATTTCAGACCCATCTACTGTATTGTTCTGTCTCCCGGAAAACTACCGGAATTACACTCACACCACCCACCCCTCAGCTCTTCAGCTTTTTGGTACAGTCCGGCTAGCTTTTTGGTTCAGTCGCCATGCGCTCATCATCCCCCACTCTTTACTTCGCGCACCCCCGGATAAAATCCCCCAGATTTTATGATCCGAATGCTGGCAGGTATGATGGGTATAAAAACAATAGTGCAAAATGTATATTTCTTACTGCAATGCTTTTTTTTGTTTAATGCAAACCATAGATTTATTTGTCATAATTTAACAGTTTTTATAGCAGATAACTCACATTCAAGGCAGCATGATAATGTTATTCATTGTTAGTATTATTATCATCATCGTTATCATTAATATTTTATTAATATTAGACATTAATTTGGAATTATTGCACAAATATCAATAAGTTACAACAAAATTAGTTAGTTGTTTTTGGTTTTTGTTTTGTCCAAACAGCTTCCAAATGATCATTTTCATAATAGGTGGCCTTAAAAAAAAAACAAACAAAAAAACGCAGCACTAAGAATCTTACCAAGCCCAAACTTTATGAATAGATCTCTTCAACGCATTCAGTGCTCGGTTACATGAATCGCCATCTAAAACCCGCTTTACATCAAGCTGAAATTGCCATGACAATTGCGAACAGAATGAACAGTCTCTCTAGGGCTGTAACAAACAAAGCCAGACTGTCACAATGGACCATCAAACCAAATCGCTGCTTTCAAACAGCTCTAATTAAAAACCACTTGAATCTAATGGGCTGTGAATGAAGTTATGAGCATCTAATGGTTTTATTATAATGGCACTGTGTGGGCATTTTCTCAAAGTGAACAGATGAGTGAAACACAGTCAAGGTCGCATCAAACTGAGCTACTGAATGGCCTTTGACAGACTGGATTTGAGCTACAAGATTCGACACAAAACACACTTGACATGAGGGGGTTTTTGAAGAGTCTTATTTTTGTGTGAGCATCAGTAAGGTCAGGTAAAGAGAAAAGGAAAAGTAAAGGTTAGGTTGATTACTTCCAGTCTCTTGAAATGAAGTATTGAAGCTCCAGCAGCCGGTGTTCGCAGTCCTGCACCATCTTCTCGGTGTAAAGGTGTTCCATTAAACAAGACAGGATCCTACACATACATACAAACACAGGGTTTAAAGCACCGCTTTTATAAAAAAAAAAAAAACAAGCAACAATAAAGAAAACATTTTGTTTTAAAACTGCATCAATGAATAAAATAAATACATAAAATAAATTAATAAATAAAATGTAAAATAAATAAATATAAAGAGAATAAAACAAAGAAAAAAAAACATAGAATAAATGTTAAATAAAAAAATAAATGTTAAATTAAATAAAATAATAAATAAAATAATAAATAAACACACAAACAAACAAACAAATAAAATGTAAAATACAAATATAAAACATAAAAATAAATAACAATAATAGAAAATGAAACAAAAGAAACGTAAAAAACATTTAATTAAATCAGAAATAGAATAATAAACAAGCAAACAAAAAATAAATAAAATGTAAAATAAATAAAACATAAAAAATAAATAAAAATAATAAACAAAAATAAAACAAAAATTAAACCTATTAAAATATTAAATTAAATAAAAAAATAGAATAACAAAAACAAACAAACAAACAAACAAACAAACAAACAAAAAAACAAAATAATAAATATAAAACATAAAAAATAAGTAATACCAACAAATGAAAAAACTAAAATAAAACAAAATAAAAAATATTAATATAAATTAAAAAAATAAATAAAATGTCAAATAAACAAATATAAAACACAAAAAATAAATAACAATATAAAAACAAAAATAAAACAAAATACTTTTTTTATAAAAAATAAAATAATTTAAATTAATTAATTAATTTAATTAAAAAATAAATAAATAAACAAGTAAAAAGCCAACAAGCTGTTTTGTCGATAAATTTAAAATAAATATAAAAGAGCTGACAAGCTGACATTTAGACATCAGACAGTATCAAAAAATTATATTTGTTTTGACCAAATATGAGATAAATGATGGCAATGGCAATATAATAAATACATTAGTTAAATAGGTAAAAATGACCATGAACAATTTAATGCTCAGTCTAATACTGAGCAACAATGTCAAATTCTTAAAACAGCAAATTTATAAAAAATAATTATAAAAATAAACTGTAAAATAAATAAATATAAAACATAACAAATAAAATAACAATAACAACAAAACATAAAAATGAAAAAGTAAAAAATATTCAATAAAAATAGAATAATAAATAAACAAACAAATACAAAGTAAAACAAATACATACAAAACATAAAACAAATAACAACAGTAAATTAAAAATAAAACATAAAAAACTCGATTTTTTCATTAAATAGAATAAAGATAAATATATAAAATAGATAAATAAATAAAAACATAAATAAATAAAAGTAGACTAATATATAAATAAACAAATATATATATTCTTTTAAATGTAATTAATTATTTTTAATACTTTAGAAAAAATAATAAAATTAACTTCAATTAATTAACAGTAATAAATGAATTAATTAAACAACTAAAAATGACCATGTACAATTTATGGTCACTGGTTCGAACCTCGGCGTTTCTGTGTGGAGTTTGCATGTTCTCCCTGCGTTCGCGTGGGTTTCCTCTGGGTGCTCCGGTTTCCCCCACAAGTCCAAAGACATGCGGTACAGGTGAATTGGGTAGGCTAAATTATCCGTAGTGTATGAGTGTGTGTGTGTGTGTGTGTGTGTGTGTGTGTGTGTGTGTTTCCCAGAGATGGGTTGCGGCTGGAAGGGCATCCGCTGCGTAAAAACGTGCTGGATAAGCTGATGGTTTATTCCGCTGTGGCGACCCCAGATTAATAAAGGGACTAAGCCGACAAGAAAATGAATGAATGAATGAATAAATGCCTTTTTAAGACATTTTATTAAAAATAAATCAACCAAACAACATAAAATAAATACATTTAGTTACATGCATTTTGTTTTGTTTAAACTTTCAATGCAAACACTGCGTAAAGTTACAAATAAAATCAAATAAGCACCCATGATACAGCACCAGTATTAGTATTACACAGAGTCTCCTCCAATACAGACATTTATCGTGACTTTTTATAAAAATAGCATCCAATATGTGCCATTAAAACCCTTTTTCTGTATTAAATAGTCTCATCAAAAACACAAAGACTGCATAAACCAGAGTATTTTCCACATATTGAATATGCTTGAATTATTTCTCTTCCACTGAGTAAGAGACAGACACATTTACGCTCCACACACATTTAATTGGATTTGACGCTCTCCTCTAAATCCACTGCAGTTTAACACTAGTGCCTGAGAGAGTAAGACTCAAAAACGCTTTAAACGAAGCTTCAATTCAAGAGGAATGATCTCTACAGGAATCTTAGTTTCTTAAACACTGATCACAGAGTGAAAAACAGCAGCATCACAGAAGCTTTCACTCATTCATTCATTCATTACTTTTTCTTCAGCTAAGTTAGTCCCTTTATTCATCAGTAGTAGCCACAGCAGAATGAACCACCAACTTATCCAGCATGTGTTTTACATAGCGAATGCCCTTCCAGTCACAACCCAGTACTGGAAAACACCCAAACACACTCACGCTACGACCAATTTAGTTTACCCAATTCACCAACATAGCGCATGTGTTTGGACTGTGGGGGAAACCTGAGTACCCAGAGGAAACCCACATCAACACGGGGAGAACAAACACAATTCACACAGAAATGCCAACTGACCCAGCAACCTTCTTGCTGTGAGACGACAGTGCTAACCACTGAGCTACCGTGTCACCCCACTGAAGCCCCACTGTTTGCAGGCCGTCTGGATCACAGACTCGCAAATAATAAAATAAATAAATAAAATGTAAAATAAATAAATAACATAACAATAACAATAATAAAAAAACAAACAGATAAATTTAAAATAAATAAACATAAAAAATAAATAATACTGACAAATAAAAAAACTAAAATAAAACAACAAAAAAATAAATATAAATTTTAAAATAAATAAATAAACAAATAGATAAAATGTAAAATAAACAAATATAAAATGTAAAAAATATATAACAATAATGAAAAAATGCAAAAAATTAATAGAATAATGAGTAAATAAACAAACAAACAAATAAATAAAATGTCAAATAAATTAATATACAGCATATTTATAATACAACAGATAAATAAATTAAATTAAAATAAATAAAAAAATAAATAAACTGAAATAAAATAAGAATAATCTTTTCATGTGTTTGGACTGTGGGGGAAAACCGGAGCACCCAGAGAAAACCCACGTCAACACAGGGGACAACATGCAAACTCCACACAGAACTGCCAATTGATCTAACCAAGACTCGAACCAGCAACCTTTTTGCTGTGAAGCGACAGTGCTAACCACTGAGCCACCGTGCCACCCCAATGAAGCTTTTTCTGCATATATTTTGTGAAAATGATGAACATGACTCACATTGGGTCTCCGTTCCGGATGTGTTTGCAGGCCGTCTGGATCACAGACTCGCAGGCTTCATTTAAAGCTCGATCGATGCGATAATCGGCACCAGGGTCTGCTGACTGGATGAGTGTCTGAAGCTACAGGAGACACATTTTGATCATTATAAACATTGATATTAATACAGTCAAAGTCAAAATGATTCGCCCTAATGTGAATTCTGTTTCCTTTTTTTTATATTTCCCAAATGATGTTTAAAAGAACAAGGAATTTTTCACAGTATGTCTGATAATTTTTTTTCTTCTGGAGAAAGTCTTATTTGTTTTATTTCAGCCGGAATAAAAGCAGATTTTAATTTATTAAACACCATTTTAAGGCCAATACTATTAGCGCTTGTATTTTTTTGCATCTAATCAAGTATTATTCACTGTCATCATGGCAAAGACAAAAGAAATCAGTTACTATAAATGATAATTAAAACTATTATGTTTAGAAATGTGTTGAAATGGTGACTTTAACTGTACTTGCCTTTTTAGCAGCAAATCTACATATTACAATAGTTTCTGAAGGATTGTGTGAAACTGAAGATTGGAAGAATGAAAGTGTCCTAACCACACATGACACAGCAAAACTACATGTGATAAAAGGTATCTTTTCCATTTTAAAATATGTTTTTTCCTAACCATCTGTGAAGGAGACGTGCAAAGTTATAATTTTAGAAATGCTCTCTCTTTCTGTGACAAGGCAGCAAACAACAGCATATACTACTACTATATGACTGTGATGTTTACATGGACATCAGTAATCAAAATATTTGCCTTAATCTAAATAAGGCAATAAGATTGTTAAGGTGTTTACAGGGGTTGCTTTTTGAATGTTCCTTTCATGATCCCCTTTTACATGTTATAGCACAATTCGATTAATGTCATCTTGTCACCGTGCTATCCACATTTTCATGTAATTTCAGGTGTTTCTTTTTAAACTTTTCGACTTTAACTGCAGTTTGGCACTTTCACTTTCATTCAGGAACATTTTATTCATGCCCCCTGTGACAAGCTGAGGTATTGGGTGAGAGTATGAACTGCTGAGTGTTGTTTTAATGAAATTTGATATTGCACTCTGTACAAAACTGGAAAAAACCACCACATTTCGCGATGCAGGTATCTGTGGTCCTTCACCGACTCTAGGTGCAGAGAATAGTGTCAGACAGCTGTGTGTGTGAACTTTCCTGTCGCAAAATGCAGCGAAAATCCTACATGACAGTAGTAACTTGACTGCGATGTTTACATGTCTGTACTGCAGCTCTATAATGTGACTAAAATCGTCATACTCCACATGTCTTAATCCGATATCTGTTTAGTTCCATTAATGACCTTAATCCTATTAATTTAGTCAAAAAACGCTGTTTACATGATAGACTCTTAATCAGAGCATTGTCTTAATCATATTAAAATCGGATTATTGAGGTCAATGTAAACGTGCTCAATGACTATGTTTACATGGACACCAGTAATCTAATTTTTTGCCTTAATCTAATTAGGAAAATAATAAGATTAAGGTATTTACATGAGTTTCTTTTTGAATGTTCCTTGCATGATCCCGTTTAAAATGTTATAACACATAATTTTATTAATGTCATCGCGTCACTGCGCTATCTGCATTTCCTCCGGAATTTCATGTAATTTTGGTTCTTTTATCCTTAATTTGTCAACTTTAACTGCAATTTGCCACTTTCACTTTCATTCAGGTACATTTCATGCATGGCCCCCATGACAAACGAGATATTGGATGCAACTATGAACTGCAGGAAGAGTGTTGTTTTGATGGAAGAGTTCATACCGCATGCTAAATGGAAGAAAAAAAACTGCATTTCATGATGCAGGTGTCTGTGGTCTACACTGACTCAGGTGCAAAGAATACTGTCAAACAGCCTTGTGGTGTGTGTGTGTGTGTGTGTGTGTGTACTATTCTGTCCCAAAACTGTCCGAAAAGTCCTACATGACATTAATAGTTTGATTAAGATGTTTACGTGTCTGTACTGCACTTCAATAATGGCACTAAAATCTGGATATTCTACATGTCTTCATTGCATTTCTGTTTAGTTTGATTATGACCTTAATCGGATTAATCCAAAATGCTGTTGACATGGTAGACTCTTAATCAGAGTATTGTCTTCTTGTATTAAAATTGGATTATTGAAGTCCATATAAACAGACTCGATGATTACCTCAGGTACTGATTATGGGCTTTAATCAGTGTTTAATGCTATCAGTGCGAGTTTCAATATCATTTAAAATGACATCTACAAATACAAACCACACAAATGCAATGAATAAAAGTAAAAATTAAGAATTCAGTCAAAAGTCTTCATAATAAAGATCATACTGTATACGTAATTAAACATGCCTATTAATAATTTTAGATTTAGAATCACGTTTGACTGATGTATTTCTCTGTAAAAGAGCATCTATAAACAGCTGCAGGTCAGATTTTCCACCACAGAATACGAGCTTTGCTTATGAATACTCATTTATAAACAATTATTTATTTTTGCTAATTATTATTTTATAGCAGTTAGTTCTTCAGTGACTGTTGTAAGCTTTGTTCAGGTTTAGTTTTTCATTTGTTGTGAATTTTTCCTCATTTATCCTAATCATTTTATCTGAGTTAACAAAATGTTTTTTAATACCTTAGTGTTCATTTACTTCAAATGTTTTTTATGTATACCCTCACACCCGACAGCACATTTGACCAGTAGAGTTCTTACAGCGGTCTGGCAGAGGTTGTCCACTGCGCCCTTCCCCGTGTCCCCGCGTGCGACCCTCATCAGGCAGTGCAGCGTTCGGCCCTTGCGGTGAAGGCCTGAACAGTGAGCCTCGATCTCTCCTCGACAGTGTAATACGATCTCCGGACTCAGAGAGAAATCCTCCATCAGCATCCGTCTGTAGTCCAGCATCTCTGCCTGACAGTCACCGCTCACCGTACGGCCTGACATGAGCCAGGAAAAAACCCACCGGAGGCAACACGACAATGAAGAAACTTATTAGGTTTCAGTAAATCAATAAACCGTCCTGAATTGAGGAACGGGAATGGATGAAAGTACTGTGCCTGGAACAAAATGCTTACAGTATACAACACAGTTTATATGGTATATACATATAAACACAGTGTATACAGTATGCAGTAACAAATAAACGGATAAAATTAAACTATAGTAATGCAAATATAATAAATATTAATAAATGTTTAAAATTTGATTATTGATAATATAGAATATAAGACTAAGGCTAATTATCCATTTGGAACTTATTTATAATTGGATAAAAATAATAACATCCTAAAAGTATAAAATAATAATAATAATAATAATAATAATAATAATAATAATATGTAAAAAAATAAACAAGCACTTGAAAAATTTTAATGAAGTGATACTGAAAAAAAAAATATTATTGGCCTATAATTCACATGGTACTAATTCATAAGTAAGTAAATAAATAAATAAATTGAGAAGCAATCTAAGTAGATTAAAACAACAGCATACAAAATTAAATATAAATAATACTGAAAAAAAAAACAAAGAAAGATAACATTACCCTGTGGCTGATATGAAAATGATATGGTAAACACAAATAATATTATCATATAAACTTCAATTACTACTATAACAAAAACAACAACTAATAATAATAATAATAATAATAATTATTGTTATTATTATTATTATTATTATTAATATTATAAAAAAACAACATTCCCTTGAAAATATTTATTCAATAAATATACAGAAAAATAAAATTAACCCATTAGTAATAAATATTCAGTATTTTGTTATTATTATTATTATTATTATTATTATTATTATAGTTATAGTTGTTGTTGTTGTTATTATTATTATTATTAATAATAATATTATGATTATTATCACTAAAAATCAACATGCACTAGAAAATATTTATTTAATAAATATTGAACAATAAAAGTAACCCCTTAGCAATAAATATTGAATCTTTATATTATTATTATTACTATTATTATTATTATTGTCATCATTATTATTACTACTATTATTATTTTTTAAAAACACCCACCAGGAAGTATTTATTTAATAAATATATTGAAAAATAAAACAAATCCCTTAGCAATAAATATTCAATATTAATATTATTATCATTATTATTATTAATTATATAAAACAACATGCACTAGGAAATATGAATTGAACAAATATAATTAAAAAACTAATTCCTTAGCAAATAACATTCAATATTTACATTATTATTATTATTATTTAAAAAACAACACCCACTAGGAAATATTTATTTGTTAAATATATTAAAAACAAAGCTAATCCTTTAGCAATAAATATTCATTAGTTATATCAATAATAATAATAGTAATATAATAATAATTATTATTATTATCATTATTATTAATAATAATAATAAAAAACAACACCCACTAGAAATATTTATTTAATAAATATATATAAAAATAAGATGAACCCCTTAGCAATAAATGTGCTATATTTATATCAATGATATAAAAGAAGAAAAACATGCACTAGTAAATATTTGTTTAACAAATATATTAAAAAATAAAATAACCCCTCATCAATTATTATTAAACTAATATTATTATTATTATTATTATTATTATAACTAATAATAATAATAATAATAATAGTAATAATAGTAATAATAATAATAATAATAATAATAATAATACCACAAAGTATTGGTCCATGAATACTGGCCAATAAATGTTTGGATACCAAATTAAAAACAGACAAACAAACAAAACAAAACAAAAACAAACCAACAGTGTGCTTAATACAGAAGTTAACATATAAAGTGGATCAAAGTTTTACTAAGATAATAACATTCAACACACACTGGTTTTAGCACAACTTTAACGAAAAGCTTAGATCCACTTGAAATGTAGACTTATGCATGCCCAGTAATGCTGACCTCTGTGAACAGCCGACTCCAGGCAGAGCAGCAGGTAGGACAGTCGGGCCTCTCGAGCACGAGGCATGCTGGTGTCTGGATTACAGCGGTACTTGCGCAGGTCGGCCTTGCAAGCCTTCGCGAGGGAGTAACTGACCTTATAATCTTGCGCAATGAGCTTCTGCCGAGTGGTCAGGGCGTTTCTGCACTGTGGACAGAGATGCTTATTAAACACAGACAAACACACACATAAAAAACCCAACCACCAACATTCCTGTGGAGTCTGCTAGACTATGACTTCAGCTTAAACACTGACACTATGCACATAGTTCTAGACTGCATGATATTGGAAGAAAAACTGATATTGTGATATTTTGTTTATCTACAAGATATATATTGCGATAAGAATATGATTTCAGAAGATGACCTCCTATTTGGAAAGAATTGCTAATTTCATATTTATTGGAAGGATTTGTAGGGGAGCATATCTGCATAAAATATAAAAACAAATTATACAAAAATATAAACTAAAGCACAGATGAGAACAACAGAAAAAAAGATAAAAATAAAATAAACCAACCCAGGCTCATTCTGAAAACGTACCGATATATACATTTCTGGAGAGCGCCAAATATGTCCCAGGAGGTACGTTTTTTTGCAGTTTTTGTTTTTGCCAATCCACCAGAGCCCGCTGTGTACACTTTTTGAGATCTTTAATTTCTCTAGCAAGTGTCATTCACGCCTGCTGTTCTCGTGTAAAACCACCAGAGGCCGCTGTCGACTGACTGACTCTCATCCTATACTATTGGAAAACTTAGGCGGATGTCGTTTTTTGGTTATTCTTGCTGCGATTTGTTGCTTACATTTTTATGACGATATTGAACTATACTTAAAAAATATATATATTTTAACACATAAAACCAAAAGATCTCAGTTTATATGTATTCAAATACATGTTTTAAAAGTAATTAAATTGGAAAAAGATGATAAAGAGCAATAAGTAACACTTTACAATAAAGTCTTATAAATAAATAATAGTTAACGCCTTCAATTTAACAATATATTTAATAAATATATTGAAAAATAAAATATAACTCTTAGCAATAAATATTTAATATTTATATTAACAATAATAATATTATTATCTACATTAAAATAATAATAATTAATAATAAAAACAACATGCACTAGGAAATATTTATTTAATAAATACAGTATATTGAAAAATAAAACTAAACCCTTAACAATAAATATTCATTATTATTATTATTATTATTATTATTAAAATTTACATATTTTATTAGCATTTTTACAACTTCCCTACTCTATTACACAGTGTGCTTAATATAGAAGTCATCATATGAAGTGGATCAAAGTTCATCAAAGTTCTACTAAGACAAAAACATTCGGAAGACATTGGTTTTAAATAATTCTAAATATTAGCTAATGCTTTCAATTTAACAGTTAGAAAAAGCCTAATTGTTATATTAATGTTAACTAAAAAATACAATTTAATTTTAATTAGCGATCATGACTTTAAGTGCATTTTTAAGCAGAAGTATAAATCAGGCCTTATAGAGCGAGTTCACATGACTCCACACGCGATAGGGAGATTGAAAAAACTGACCATGAAAAATTAGATCAATTATAGGTTCTGAAAGTTGAATTTCGATTACTTTTTCAAATAATCGCCAGCCCTATGGCAGATGCTTATGTCTTAAAAGACTTAAAAGGAGGCATTCAGAGATTTAACATGAAGAGTCAATACACACAACAAATGCTCAGAGAATTAAATGCTATAAGGAGGAAGGAGTGTTTTGTTTTATTTTAGAGAGAGGAGAGTGTTTCTACAAGTGGTTTGTCAAGCCCACTCATCTGTGTGAAACTCACTTCATAAATGCACTGTTTATTTTTTAAACATATAGCATGATTGTAAGAAACTGACCAGTGCAAATTTGCAAAATGTGTGCACGTGTTCGTTAAAATGACAGAGAAATGTTTTAAAACAAGTATGTTTACAGGTGGTTTGTCAAACCCACTCACCTGTGTGAGGCACACTCAGAATAGCATAATGTTTTAAGGTTGTTTTGTGGTGTGGTGGTGGATGGTAGCAATATATAAGACAAAATAGCATCTTTTTAATAAATTTAATCAATTAATAGTTTATACATACTGTTAAACTCAAAATGATCAGCCCACCTGTGAAATTTGTATTCTTTTAAAACGTTTTGAAAACAAATTTCTAATAACTAATGTCTTTTATTTTGCTAGATCAGTGGTCAACAAACTTCCGGTGTCCAGCAGATTTTAGCTCCAACCCTAATCAAACACACCTGAACAGGCTAATCAAGGTCTTACTAGGTATACTTGAATAATCCAGGCAGGTGTGTTAAGGCAAGTTGGAACTAAACCTTGCAGGGACACAGGCCCTCCAGGACCGAGATTGGTGACCCCTGTGCTAGATGCTATTATTCAGCTTAAAGTGCAATTTAAAAGCGTAACTAGGTTATAAGACAGTTATAGCAAAATATAATAATTAGGAAAGTTATTGGATAACTGTGGTTTGTTCTGTAGACAATTAAATAAATATACATTCCGTAAGGGGTCTGATAATATTGACCTTAAAATTGTTTAAGAAAAATTTTAAAGCTTTATTTAAACAAAATATAATAAGAAATGCTGTGAAAACTCCCTTATTAAGTTAAACATCGAGCTGCACGGTGGCGAAGTGGGTAGCATGTTCGCCTCACAGCAAGAAGGTCAATGTTTCGAGCCTCGGCTGGGTCAGTTGGCGATTCTGTGTTGAGTTTGCATGTTCTCCCAGTGTTCGTGTGGGTTTCCTCCAGGTGCTCCATGTTCCCCCACAAGTCCAAAGACATGTGGTACAGATGAATTGGGTAGGCTAAACCGTCTGTAGTGTATGTATGTGTGTGAATGAGTGTGTATAGATGTTTCCAGCGGATGGGTTGCGGCTGGAAGGGCATCCGTAAACATATGCTGGATAAGTTGGCGGTTCATTCCACTGTGGCGACCCCAGATTATTTATTTATTTACTTTATTTATTTATACAGGGACAATGTACAACATGACATGTTGTGCCAAAGTTAGCTATAAAGCTAATTTACATCGTTGTAGTCCCTGGGCAGGAAGTAACAAATTTAACACTTATAACAAATACAATATACACTTACAGTACAATATATACAATACATCATTGTCAATAAAATGAAATCAAATCAGTGGCTGCATATTTGATTTTGTTTTAGCCAGATTTTAAGAACAGTTTTAAAATTATTAAAAGTGCTGCTCTCTCTGATATACACTGGTATTTTATTCCATCTTTCTGCTGCTTTAAGTGAAAAAACTGATTGTCCAAAAGCAGTTCTCTTAAGTTTAACTGAACAATCACCTCTAACAGATGACCTAGTCTGTCTTATATTGTCCTTGCCGACAATCACACATTGTTTGAGGGGTGGTGGTGCAAGACCATGAAATATTTTATACATTAAACACACATCAGCATAAAAAAAGAAACTGTCAAATGTTAGTAATTTTTGTTGTGCAATACAGTTGCAATGATGATAGCTCCTTGGCTTTTAAGCTAAAATTTTAACAGTTTGTTTATATATAACATACAATGGTTATAATGTTGTAATGTTCGTATGCGACCAGCTTGTAGCACAATAAGATAAATGAGGTAAAATCATTGTATTCATGAAAAGTTTAGCAGCAGCCATAGGAAACTGATGCCTAATGTTTCTATAGATCCTCAGGCTTGCTCTAGCACTTTTGGAAACCTTCTTAATGTGTTTTTTAAAATTTAAATTGGAGTCAATTTTATTAAAGGGACTAAGCCGAAAAGAAAATGAATTTATGAATGTTAAACATCACTTGGGAACATTTTGAAAAATAATACAATTTTCACAGAAGGGCCAATCATTTTTACTTCAACTGTAAACCGATAGTAAGAGACCTCTGAAACAAAATAGGGACGAATAGCATAAAAGGAACACTTAAAACAACACAAAACACTGGTGTTTCCTTCCCATAATCAGTTCCATCAAACTCAATATAGTATTTGAATAACAATAAATATAACGCACCTTTTCTGACATCGCTTCCTCAAATTTATGGTTGAACAGGCATTTGTACACTCTGCCCTCTCCCACTTGGGTCTGCAAAAAAAAATTATAAAATACATAAACCTTAATAATCTACTCACTGTCATGCCATTCAAGATGTAGGTCACTGTTTTTATTGAGTGAAACATTAAAGAGGATTTTGAGCTCTATAATCTTTAAGTAAAAGACTAGCTATACTAGTGAAAACAACAACAACAAATGCAAGCTTTTGCATAACTAAAATTAATACTTGTGCCTCATGATGATAAATTGAAGTATTTCAGTATTTCAGTATGATGTGAAACAAATGGCTTGTGTGACAAAGTGAGCATTATTTACAACGTTATCACGTTTAATCCACGTACTCGACACACATTCCTGTTCATCACAGGACACTAGTATTATTTTTGTTTTGCCTGCATGCGTTTTTCTATCTCTCAAAACGATGACATCCTACTAATCATAACAATTTCAACATGAGGACTGATGCATTAACAGTATTTCCATTTCTTTTAAGGAACAAAACATTATATTTTACTATCCCTTTAAGAATGATCATTTCAGGTCAATCAGGAGATATTTAACACTTCATGTTTCGCACGTCTGATATATCCACACATCGGCCCACGTCTAATCCTATACACTGCGTTGTGCTAATCCTGCTATTCTGACTCACAGCACATGATGGACAGCTGTCAATCATGTGACCACACCTCCACACAATTACTGAACCAGCAAAGCATATACTACAGAAGCGTGCAAATTAGATCATCGTATATTTTCCAATGCACATCCATCACTATAACTATTGGAGAAGATGGCACTAAGCTTATGCCAGTCTCAATTTTTTTAAATTGCTGGGACTTTTATCATGATATTGACATAAGATGCACATATAAACGCATATAAAAACAAAAAAATATTTAAACTAATTAAATTGCAAAAAGATGATAAAGAGCAAGAGGTAACACTTTACAATGAAGTCTCATTAGTAAATGTAAGTTAAAGGTTCAAGAAACCCTCGAGTACTTTCTAATTGTTTTGAAAGCAAGATAATTTTGAACTTTTGTCAGCTAATTTCATCTTTTGGGTTTAAAATGATTTTTGGGGCGGGATCAAAATCAGTGTAGCGCATAACTGCAAGTGGAGTGATGACGCGTTGGATTCTCAATATTATTCATAGCTGAGTTTTCCTATGCTATGAGAACACCCTGCTTCTTAATTATTCATGACAGCACGTGCTTTCCAAAGGCAAGACAGACCTGCCAAGCTGTGAGACCCTGTGTTGATGACTGGGTAAGACCGCGGCCAAGGACCAACGGCACACTGTATTTAGCCGTCCATGAAGGGTCTATTGTGTTTGTTTCCATGATCCGCTGAGATTGTTGCATCTCAGTGCATTCCCCACGATCCTGTCAGGGCCGATACAGCAAAGCTGTTTGTGTGCAGCAAGCGTTTTTGTCGGGAGAGCAGTACGAGAATTGGAGAATGGCAGACTTTGTCTTTTATCAGGAGCTCGTTCACATTTAGACACATCGCCATGCTGCTGTGTTCGCCTAAATCCTCCAGATTATCCGCAGCAGGGCTAATGGTTGAAATAGGCAGGGCAACAGAGCTGCTGCATGGAGTCTGCATTCAGACCCGGGGATTGAGGGAGAAGTCCTCATTTATGGTGTTTATATGAACACGATTATCTTTATAATGATATACATTGTGGCTGTAGCAGGGCATTAAATTACTGTTTATTTCTTTGCATTTTAACTTGTAAACTATAAAATCATGCGTCTCCTCACGGTTTGTGTCTCATTTTGTGAGCCGACTGCCAACAGCAGTTCCCTCCCCTCCTTCTCCCCTGCTCTGCTGGCCACGCCCACTCCTGCCTCTGATCGCAGAGCTTCACGCCCATTATGATGCTTTTTTTTTAAATTCTGAGTTAGACTTGAACCGAAAGTGGGGGGTTTCATGGCCCTTTAATGCATTAATTCCAACAGTTAAATTTGATTCAAAGCCTGATTTATTATTATGTTAAGATTAATAAAAATAAAATGCTAATTCATTTTAGCAGTTATCAACTCTATTTAATAAAACAACTTTCTGAATACATAAGAATGCATTAACTAACATATCATCATATAAAATTAATAAGTGTTTTTGTTGACTTCAAATAGCTGACGGAGCTTCATGGTACAGTGCTGAAAAAACAAAAGCGCCATAAATAGTCACAGAATTCTTATTTTGTTATTTAAACAAGCTTTATTTTTTAATGTACGCATTTGAATTATTAGTAGTAGTGAATTTATTATTAAGCATGCGGGGATGTGTTTTTATTCTTAATCATATTGTTTCTGTGTGATTTGTTTGTATGATGTGTCATGATGGCACTTGCCTAATTTATTTCCCTTTGTGAGATTAATAAAGTTGTTAACGTATTAAATTGACATTGGAAAATCCTTGTTGGAAAATAAAAAAGGCCTGTTAAAGGGATGCTAGTTTACCCAAAAATTAAAACCTTTATGAAAATTCTTTATTCTGATGAACACTGAAAAAGATATTCTGAAGAATGCTGAAAACCTGTAACCATCGACTTCTGTAGTGGGAAAAACAAATACTATGAAAGTCAATGGTTACAGGTTTCCAAAAGGTTTCTAAATATCTTCCTTCTTGTTTAGCAGAACAATGACACTTGTAAAGGTTTGAAACTAATAAATGATGAGTAAATGACAGAATTTTCATTTTTGGGTGAACTACTCTTTTAAACATTGAATCATTTGGTGATGTCTGTGATGAATAAACACTGCAAATACATCCAGAATATTCTTAAAAGGCACTCTAAAAGCTGAACTATTAATGAATTATTCTCTGTAGTTTTGAAGTCCGCTAAAAATCAATACTATCATTATCACAATTACTGAATACTTTACATTTTCACAGAATCGCTCGCGGTCGTCTCGGCAGGAGAAGTAGAGGTATCGGTCGAGGTGGAAGTCGTCGGCTGACAGTTCGGCCACTCTCATGATTGACTTCTTGCATTGGTCTTTGATTTGATGAGCCTTGTCCTGCTGCTCAGCCTCTCTGACCAGAGCTCTTTCCAGGCAAGCAATCACATCACCCTGGGAATGCAAGTCCTTACAGGAAGGCAAAAAAAAAAAAAAAAAAACACATTAGTCGACTGTGGGACTGATGGGATTTTTATTTTTTGGGACAACAGATATGTTGGACTAAAGGGAGGAAAGGGACATACGATGATGGTTCACAAAGTTTAGGAAGCTAAAAGTATTGCTTTTTTAGTAGGATCTGAAAGACAAAAGAGGAAATAAACTCTATAAAAAAAGACCTCACATGTTAGTTTTTTTGACTTATTATACAGAAGCAAACAACGCTGTTTAAGTACAACATTCACTATTATACTGAATGATGTAATACAACTTTACATTTTACTCTTAAAAATCATTTGCAAAAATCTAAATAGCTTATATATATTTTCAGTTTTTAATTAATTTAAGTTGTAGTTCATGTCAATTTGTCACTTTCTATTTACCTTATTTTTATTTACCTTATTATATAGTGAAGAATGACAAAGAGAAAGTGCAAGAAGAAAGCAGTACTATTTTAATAATATAAATATTAATAATATAAAATTAAAACAATATAAAATCATACATTATACAAAGTTTATACACACACACACACACACACACACACACACACACACACACACACACACACACATATATATATATATATTAATATTAAATATAATAATTATGTTTCAATAATTTTTATATATTTAATTTAATTATTAGGCTATATATTTAATAAATAATAAAATGTAATAAATAAAACATTAATAAATAATACATTAATAATTTATGTAATAATAAAAAATATTACATAAAAAATATTTGAATAACTTTAAATATTTTTCTGTTTTTTTTAAAGGTTTATTTAGCCTATTGACTTTTATTTCAATTTTACTTATTTCCATACTTAAAAAAAAAAAAAAAGATTTCAATAATTACCCAAAGCAAATTTTCAGATTTTTAGGCTTGCCTTTTTAAAAACAGACCACTCAAGACAAGCATAAGCAAATAACTTGATAATTAAATGCCCACTCACACACACTCAGTCATTTAGTGTCAGGCAGCTTAATGACAAAATAACCAGTGATATTTAAAGGCTGCAGAATGGGAGCTGTCATTTACTCGTGTAATTGTACCTAATTAGCGTACGGGCCGTGAACTAAAAGACGACTCAAGGATGTGTAAACCCACTAAGCAGCTATATATAATTTTCATTCCTCACTTGCCAGCTGGTATGTGTGGCAGTCTGAGCTTACTTGGACTATTTTAAGTCAACAAGCAGACAAGTCTAAAGTTAACTTTTTTAATTTCAGCAGAGTGCGCCCGGGGGAACGAGGCAAATGCGGAGAACGGGTGCCCAAGTCCTAGCATGCCCGGAGGAATGTGGACACTTCAGGAATGGCAGAGTCACTTCTACACTTTGCCATCTGGCATCAAACCAACATGCTATGGTTTCCCGAAGGGATATTCTAGAGTTTTGCGGTTGTGCGTGGGTAAGAAGTCAAAGCGTTCGCTTCCATAGACCTTATTCAGTCTGTCATATTGATGAGGGACAAAAATCCACTTTTGTTCAGCAGTCAAAACACAAAATAATTAATTTCCCAAATTTCAAAAGGATAAAGAACTTACATGAAAATACATGAAAACATGTATTGCTAAATTTAGCGAGACTAAGGACTTTTTAAGCAATAAATATTGCATTGTCTATTTAAAATACTTACTAAAATTATGATTTTTTTCTAAATTTACCCAATAACTAAACACAACTACTACCTTACTAACTATTAATAAGCAGCTAATCAGTGGTTTGATCTAAAAGGCTTATTTAATACATAAATCAATTCTTCTATGTGATGATTCTGTAGTCGTGTGATTATTAGCAGTGGTGAAAAGTAGGAAACAAATTACAAATACTCAAATTACTGTAATGGAGTCAGCCCTCAACAATAAGGACTCCAAGACGCTCGGGACAGTATACAGAAAGGTTACTGGCCTGATCGGGGCCAGTGTTGCCTTGTCACTAAAGTTTAATTTGGATGCGACTGTTTGTCAATGGTTTGCTTTCATGCCCAGACGTTTGTTTCGGAACCCATCTCGTTTGCACAGTAAGAGCAGTTTGTGGCATATGTGAATCCCGCAATCATGCTCGAGTCCACGCCAAATCAATCAAGTCAGTCTGAGATCGCCAGAATCAGCGATCACAGTGTATTACGGTTGTGTAATGGTCATATATACTGCTATATGAATAGAGTATGATGAGTAGGGCTGGATGTAATTTCTACCAGCAAATGTGTCTTTCATATCTAATATGAAAGTGAAAGCATGCTAAAATATTAGAGTGCTGTTTATCCGTTGTCAAAAAAAAATTGACCAAAATTACCATCTGATTTTTTCAAAATTTTCCATATTTAAATCTTATATTTTGTATTATGCCAATTGTTTTGTTCATTTCGACACCTCAAAGGAAAAATCAACATTGCTTCATGATCTGACTGCAGTCCCAGTGTTGTGACGAGAAATGCACCCCTGCACGGGCCCCCTTCACAGACTTTCTTTAGCATTCTGAGTCTACATTTAAAAAAAAAAAAACTCAAAGGCCATAATTGATTAAAACGTAGGCTAATATGATTATTATGTTTATGAATCAAGCAAGAACAAGAAGTGAAATGCATTTTAAATCTAGATTTACAAATAAATGTACAATAAAAATATTGACAGTATTATAGACTGAAGTCAATTCAATTCAATTCAGCTTTATTTGTATAGCGCTTTTACAATGTAGATTGTGTCAAAGCAGCTTCACATAAATGGTCATAGTAACTGGAACAGTGTAGTTCAGTTTTTTAGTGTTTAAGTTCAGTTCAGTTCAGTTTAGCTCAGTTCAGTGTGATTTAAAATCATTACTGAGAGTTCAAACACTGAAGAGCAAATTCATCGATGCGTAGCTCTACCAATCCTGAACCATGCGAGCCAGTGGCGACAGCGGAGAGGGAAAAAAACTTCACCTGATGGGAGTGAAGAAAAAAAACCTTGAGAGAACCAGACTCAGTTGGGCACGACCATTTTAATTTCTCCGCTGGCCAAAAGTCTTATGCAGAGCTTCAGTCGTGAGCCGGTTTCTAAAATTAGGCGTTTTGGTGGGTTTTAAACAAACAAAAATCATAAAATTGTTGTAGTTTTCAACTAAACAATGCACTTTAATTAATCTAATCAGTATTGTATTTAAACTAGATCAATTTTTAATTGTCGGTTGTATTTAAAGAAAAGTTATGCTGAATAACTAAATGGCTAACTTCTTCTTTTGGTGGGGCCAGAGAAAATTTTGGCAGGGCAAGTAAAAATCTGAACCACTGGTTCATTCAGGCCAGTAGAAAAAATCCCTAGCGTTGAACCCTGGGAGTAGTTTTTCTCAGGAATTGTAATTTAATAAGCAGTTTTAAAAAATGTGTACTTTTACTTACTTTCCATCAACCTGCAGTCACTACTTTATTTCTTTCTCGTATATGGTGATTGGCTAAAGTAGAAAAGTCAGTCCTGCGATTGCTGGCTAATCCAATGACACCTAGAAGGTAAATTGCGTTATACTGAACAACCTCAAGACATGGCCGCTTTATAAATGAAGCAAAACTTTTGGAAGCATTAAAACTGTCCAAGAAGACGTCTGCAACTGGGAAACCCTGAAACGCGAAAAGGGTCTAATATTATTGGGGACGTGAGCTTACTTTTTCCCCAACGCTGATGCTTCCACACTGCAGAGTGTTGATGTCTTCTCTGCATTTATCCATGAAGCCACAGATGAGGCGGTAGTCGCTGAAGACGATGCTGGTCATTTTGGTGATGTACTGATGACACTGGCGCTCCGTGATGTTGGCACGGTGGTCCACTAAGCAGGACATCAGATATCCTTTCCCTCGCTCCTCATCTGCGCACTCTTTCAGCTTAAAAAAAACACCAAAAACACGATTAACGCAGTTTTCATCAACAGGAGTCAAGGATCAATGCTGCAGACATATGGATCTAAATTCCTTATTTAATATCAGGTCAATTTCACTAACAGCAATTAAACTGTGAATTCAACCGCAGGCATCAAAACACACACACAAACACACACACACACATACGAAGAGGTTAGTGAGAAACTTTTGTCCACTGAGATTCGCTTTAATTACAGTATGGCGGCTCACAGCGCAGTCAAACATAAAACAAGACTGCATTATAAATGCAGACAGCCGTTCCTCTGCTCTGAAATCAAGACTGCAGTAAATTGGGAAAGAAATATGAAATCCTTATATTTAGTTTTTCTGCAATATATAATGTAAGGATGCACATACACTATTTTTTGGAACCGATCCAATCTCGATACCAAAATTCTGAGTATCGACCGATACAGATCCGATCCCGATACTGTGCTGGTTCTTTTATGTTTGTTTTTTTAACAAACATAATGCAGTTTCTATAGTTCTGGTGATGAACTCAAATGGCATCTTCTTTAAAATTAACAGACCTATAGACCTACTTTACAAGACAGATGGCACAATTTAACTAAAAACATGATGCTTGCTATAAACTATACATTATTTAAGCATCTGTGATCTGTTGTGGTCCAGCTTATATTTCCTCTTTAATGTTAGGGTTTTTCTTTGATGTGTTCTGGGCTACCACTATTGACCCTAAACGTTAGTAAAATAACCAGTCTTTTAGCAAAGCCTGATATTTTCCTGCAGGTTTGAAGCAGACTAAACTAAACCGTCTGAGACCAGTTTTACTTGATAAACATTCCCTTGCCTAAACTCGAGGTGAGTGAGATGGAGAAACTGAAAGCATGTTGGAACAATAATTTTTTTTATCTAAAAACTTATCTTATTGAAACATATTTCGTTTGGTGTAATTAGATGGTTATTTAAATGCACTTTTTGCTAGTCAGTTATCCACAAAATAAACAAGAATATTTGAGGTGAAGTTCAAAACAAGGTCTGTATATGCATCAGCGCACAAACTGACAAACAGGTCTGTTAAATAAAATATTAACATTAATAAAAGTACAGTAGTATATTGACAGTTTCAGAGTATCCTATATTAGGCTAAATTCTTTTCTGTAAATGACAATCCATTTTGGTCAACTACTTTGACCACAATGAGCCAGGCTTTACAATCTATTTGCAGCACTTAAAGTATTCCTATCGAAAGAATAAACTCAGTTGGAAGAAGGAGAGAACAGAAACTTATTGTGAGAATAATAAAGCTTTTTTTTTTAAGTTGGGCAAACATCGCATATTTCACAGAGCTAAAAGCAAGACAATTTCTTCTATTGTGGCTAGAGTGGTGCAGATGCTAGAACCCGCCTTTAAGCATGCGCGACGTCAGAAATTGTATGGCAAGTGTAAACACATGAATCAGATTTGGGTCACAATTAAAAGAACATGTAAATGGAGAGGCAAAAAAATCAGATTTAGGCAACAAATCGGAATCAGGCCTGACAGTGTAAACGAGGCCTTTGTGAATGTCGCACGCTCCAGGCTGCATGTAAATCGACGCAGTGCAGTCTTTAACTAAAACCTCTGAATAATTAAAAAAAAACTTTAAAAAGTAAACAAACCTCTAACATGGTGCTCGTACACACTTCCAGCGCCACAGACTCAAACTTCGGATCTGTGGTCAAGTTCAGCTTGTAGTTCCACAACAGCTGGAAAACAGAAAAGCAATATTATATACTGTATGCCTGATTGATATAGTCATGAATCAAACAAGATATTACAGTTGTAAACTTCTATTCTTTCTTTAAATAATGCTATGATTTCACCTTTGAAGACTTGAAATAGAAGGTAAGTCATGCAAGACTACTTTGACTCTATTTATGCTCAGAAAAGTCTCCAGTGCCCAATTTCTCCATTTTGCATTTCATGCTTGCACCATTTTGAAATGACATGAGGAAATTACTGTTCTTTCAAGGTTAAGTGCACAGTTTGGCTCTCTTTTTCTTTTGCACCAGACGAAAATCTAAATAAATCTAAATATCAATCAATCAATCAATCAATCAATCAATCAATCAATCTACCTATCTATTTACCTATCTATCTATCAATCTATCTATCATTCTATCTATCTATCATTCTATCTATCTATCTATCTATCTATCTATCTATCTATCTATCTATCTATCTATCTATCTATCTATCTATCTATCTATCTATCTATCTATCTATCTATCTATCTATCTATCTGTCAAGTTAATTATGAATTTAGTCCTGGTTCAGTCAGAGTTCATACAATATTTTTTATTTAAATTAGTTTACCTTAATTTTTTAAATTGTAAACTATTTTTTTTATGTGCAAAATTCTGACAATCTTAAGTCAATAGCTACTGATATTCAACATTCTTCAAAATGTCGTCTTGTTTGTTCATCAGAAGAAAACTACTCATAACGGTTTGAAACAAGAGGAAGGTGATTAAATCAGAACTATTTATTTTATTTTGGGATGATCTATGCCTTGTAATGGCAAATTATTTTCTTTCCTTTCACAAGGAATATTTATTAATGCAAAGACTAAAATTGAATAAAGTCAGACAAAGTCTTTTAATTGCTTTAATTCAATGGAGAATGATCAGTTTATAAAGACAGTCTCTGTTAGCAAAAGGATCTCAAGGATGGGGTCACTTACATTTTTATAAAGACATTTGATTCTGATGCATTTGATCTTTACTCTAGCAAAACCTTGAATCAATCATCAATATACAATCATCATCAACATTAAAAATTGCCATCACACCCTTTAACAGCGATGCTAACTAAAACTGCTGATCAAGTTTTCACAAGCACCAAAATGAGGTCTTCATCTTAATTATTACTCAAACTATGAGTCTTGCGTAATGAGACGAGTGACTCAGGCCTGAATCAGACGCCTAAATCTTCCTCATTTCTGATTTGTGGACGCCGCGGCCTTAATGAGAACATCAAAGGCATGAATGTAAGGAAAGGAGATCAGAAACAGATTCCTCTCTCGGGACGCCACCAAATTAATTGCAGGCTGCAGCCATCATTAGACAGTGATTAGGCCATTATTCTTCTCAAATTACTTGCTGATGTTGCTGCTCTCTAAATCCTGCTTTCTCTTGTAAAGCTAGAGAGAATCATTTTGGAGAGAATAACGCAGGTCTGGAAAATTGTTAAAAAGAGGAGAAGTGTGAGGAGTTGTGAAGGAGAAGAATAATATTATATTACTTATAATAAAGGGATTTCTGAGTACTTACATGGTTGCAGTCTGAAGCAATCTCTGTGTCCTGTAAAATGAAAAAAAAAGAGATTATTTTTTTTTATTTCTGCGGATTACATTTTTTTTTTCTCCTCATTTTCTGTCCTTATTAATTTTAAATAATTTCCCAAAGTGTTTTTGCATCTTTTCTAAAGTCAAATTTAAGCACCTCTCAAGACATTTTCATTTTTCATTTTTTTCTGCACGTGTGGCAAATTACATTTACATTTAGTTATTTAGCAGATGCTTTTGTCCAAATGTATTTACATCATGTGTGTATGTATGTATGTATGTATCGTGCTCAGCATAATTAAGCACACCCCATTTTAAAAATGATTGTTTTATCCATTTCTCAGTGAATATGGGTGATATATATTGGTGCATTTAAACAAAACAGATTTATTAAACAGATGTTATTTATTAAAATCAGACTTTAGTCACAGACACTTTAGAAATGGTAAGATAATACAATTAAATTAATACAAAATATTGCAAAAGCAAATGACAAACTACAACATTTCAACAAAATTGTATATATTTTTTGTTTCTCTTGAGTTTCTGCTCTTTTTGAAAAATGTATTTAATATTTTTTCCTAATATATACATTTGGGCTGCTAATTTTTAAACCATTATCGTAAGTTATTTTGTAAGATAAGCTCCAGATTTGGCTTCAGTATAGACTAATCTACTGTATATGCACAATATAATATTGTAACGCTTCCTATAGAAAATATTCATCTAAATAAGGGATTTGTTGGTTGTGTACTCATATGCTGAGCACTGTATGTGTGCATGCATGTATTTACATAGTTTATCACATTATGTCAGATGCTGCTTGTTGTTGTATACTATAATATGTTTTAGTTTTAAGTAAAAATTATGGTGGCTTGTTGTTGTTGTATGTTGTATGATGGCCAACATTGAAATACTGTCATTTACTCTCTTAAACAACTGCAATAAGTTTTTTTTATTATTATTTAAAGGTTAATTATTATTACCTATTTTAAGAAAGCAACAAGTACTTTATCCAAAACTTAAGGAATTTTCAAACCTTAAAAACACTAGATTAAACTTTAATGATTTACAGAACTTGTATGAACTTTGTTTCCAGCACTGAAGTTTTATGGTGTTGGAATTGAAGATGTTAAACAAGCCTAGGTTTAAACTTTAGCAGTACATTGAGTAAAATAAAATAAAATAAAATAAGATAAAATAAAATGAAATAATAAAAAACAAAATAAAATATATAAAAAAAATAACTGTTAAAAGTTAGATACAATAAATAAAAAAATAAAAAATAAAAAATATAAAACAAAAGCAAACTAAACAAACAAAATGAAACAAATAATTGCATTTTTAAAAAAAGAATAAAATAAAAACTTTGAAATGCATTTGCCAATATCTCCCACATTTCGATTTTTTTAAATCCCAAATTTATGAACTTGAAAAAAAAAAAAAAAACACAATAAATCTGAAACTGAAACAAAATTTAAATTAAATAAATAAATACAAAACAATATAAACAACAAAAGCAAATAAATAAATGACATAAAACAACATCAAATAAATAAATAGAAAAATTGAAAAACAACAAATAAAGAAAACATTAAACTGCATAAATTAATATCAACCACATCTCAATGTTTTTAAAGCCCAAATTCATGAACTTGGGATTTCTAGAACCCCTATGAACTTTATCTCCAGTGCTGAAGTTGTATGTTGTTGCAATTGTAAATGTTAAACAAGCTGTCATAAAAAATACAAAAAAAATAAATAAATAGAAAATCTAATAAAAAATAAATAAAACAAAAACATATAATACAAATACAAAATAAAATAAAATAAATAAATAGTCAAATTCAATTAAAAACAATAGAATAATTAAAAAAAAAAAAAAAAACCTTAACCAATACAAACCACATCTCAATGTTTTTAAATCCCAAATTCATGGACTGGAGAGTAGATTGACATTTTGTTTAAAGCTGAACAATTTAATTTAATAAATGACCATACCTTGAAGAATTACACACTCAGTCTTCCAATGCAGACACAATTTGAAAAAAAATATATATATATCCCATGCTCACACAAATGTCAAAAATATCATTATAAACAAAAGCCAAGCACGTTTTCTGGAACAGTTTTCTAATAGTACTCTTAATACAAAATCTACCAGCATTCCTATCTGCGTGTTAGGTCCAAGGGCTCTATCAAACTGTATGAGGAGACTCAACATGGAAACCGATGTGTACACCATGATTTTATAAACATTCACATTAATGTGTGATATGACTAAATTGGTCATACTATTTTCTCAATGCAAATGAGCAGTGGCTTGGACCTGAAAACAGTATCAACACAATTTAACAAGCAGATACCAAAACAATAAAATGAGCTACAACAAAAGTCCCTAAATAATGCAGGCACAGATACCGAAGATCTTTTGACCTCTGAAACCTTTAGTAGTTTTCCTCCCTCAAGATTCAGGATTTCAGTTTTCTCTTATTCTGGCTGGGTTTAGAGTTAGACCTATGTCTGCTCTCCGTCTCTAACCTTGCTCAGTAAACAACTGCTGAGTGACTCACAGAGCATGAAAATGCAATTAGTAATTGTCAGGGGACGACAACAACATAGTCAAACAGGCAAAAATCAATGTGCATTCGCATATAATCATCTAACAATGGCTTAACAATGACTTGTCATCCTCCGGTTGTCCTCCTTTAAGACGCGAACATCAAACCAAAGAGTTTCTGTCAGCGTGGAGCCGTGGAAACAAAACAAAGTATCGTGCATGTTTTATATTTGGGGGAAGAGTACAGTATAGGTGCATTTAAATCTGACTGAAATTGATTTGACCAAGAAAAGAAATAATCCACAGATTGAGGAGTATGTCAGCCTGGAATTAAACGGATCCCTAAGCTGACATTAAAAAAGTATCTATATTTCAATAAAAGGTTTATTAATTTTGTTTTTAATTTTTAAAACATCTCTAAATAATTTTTAGTAATTTAAAAATATTTGTTATTGTTTTTATTAGATTGTTATTTTTTATTATTGTTTTATTTTTTTTATTTAATCATATTTTTTATTTATTAATATATATCTATCTATCTATCTATCTATCTATCTATCCATCCATCCATCCATCCATCCATCCATCCATCCATCCATCCATCCATCCA